AAGCACTCTGCCACTGAGCTACAGCTCGAGCCCCCCAAGAAGACTTCAGTGTGCACTGTGGCTGAGAACCACTGGCTTGGCACTCTTGTTAATGCCATCATGGCTCATTTGGTGAGAGTTTCAGTGAGCAGTCTACAGAGACCGCCACAGTTTGTTCATGTGGGGCCTCCAGTCCTAGAAGAATGGATACTGACTCTAGACCTTTGCCTCTCAAAGCGGAGTTCATGGACTGCAGCATTAGCCTCACCTCGGAGTGTGCCAGAAATGCAGAATCTAGTCCCCACCTCAGAGCCCCTGAAATCAGGGCCTGCATTTAATAAGATCCCCAAGGGATTCTCATGACCATTTAAAAGTGAGAAGCACAGGTGTAAAAGACTCTTTGCAGGATTCTGGCATTGCATTTTACTGTCTGCCCCCTGGAATTCCATCAAGAACTCTTTCTACAGTCCTAACTCCCACAGTTCCCTGGGTTCATCTAACCATGACTCCCTGCCAAGGCAGGCAGCCCCGTGCCTCGTAACCTGTCTGCCCCTGTCTTGCTTTGCCAAGTGGATGGAACTATGAGACTCCATCAGGGGACGAATTTCATGTGCAAATGTCTCCATAAGCACATGACACTTCCTGCTACAGATCAAGGTCCCTATGGGTGCTCTAAGAGTTAAAAACTGAGTAACATGTGGCCTTTCCCTCGAAATTCGCAAGCTGAAGAGCCAGATAACAGAAAACATAAAAATGGCAAATGTACTAAGGCACTTTAAGGTGCTTTACATCTACTTGGTCTTTGGAAAAATCAGATAGGGCTTGGGCTAGAGCTCAGTGATAGAGCACTTGCTTAGTATAATGTGTGGCCCTGGGTTCAGTGCTTAGCACACACAGACACACAGACACAGGCTCAGATAAGTTGCCTGTTTGTTCAGCACCATTTGGCCATAGATTAACACAGCCTCAGAGCTACATTCAGATGCTTCTATGGCTGAATCTGGGGGAGAGAGTTCCGTTTCAGCTGTTATGAACAACAGTGTCATTTTCAGGGCTATTTGCTTGAATTAAATCAAGGTGCCTCCATTACTAAAGTAAGTACCAACTGCACCTGTAGGAAATGTGATGCAGTGCAACATACGTGCCCTGAGAGAGTAAAGGCAGAGCTAAAGAGCTCCATCACTGTCCAGCTGTTAAGTGGTGAGCATTGGCCTTCTTGCTTGCAACAGTACTTTTTTTTTTTTTTTTTTGTACCAGGGATTGAACTCAGGGGTACTCAATCACTGAGCCACATTCCCAGCCCTATTTTGTATTTTATTTAGAGACAGGATCTCAGAGTTGCTTAGCTCCTTGCCATTGTTGAGGCTGGCTTTGAACTCACGATCCTCCTGCCTCAGCCTCTGGAATCACTGGGATTACAGGTATTTGCCACAACACACAGCTTCTGTTTTTATTTTGGAATGAAACTAATAGTTTCAGTTCTCATCACAATCCTAAGAAATGATCTGACGCAATGTAAAGCTGTGTTCATGTACTAAGAAAACAGAAATAAAACAGTAGTTTATAATTGAAAAATAGTGTCAGGGTTAGTGTCTGATTAATCTGAAAGAAAATAATGTGTCCCCCCCCCCAACCCATAAGAAAGATAGGGCACTAGACTGGTAAGATCCCATATTGAGCCTCAGAAGACGTGTTTTGGAACATAGGTCTGCGTAACGGTGGCGTGGACTCAGATGTCACTGTGCCTCAATTCCTTCATAGGCTCAGACAGCTCAGATCATCTGATTTTGTGGAATAACTGCAAAGATTAGATATGTTTGTAAAGGATGTAGAATAATACTTGGCAGAAACTCATTCCTCAATTAGGAGCAGCTTGGTCCTAAATTAGGACCACATCCCTAAGTGTTTAATGTATGTAATTGTTTTTAGGTTGACCTTTGAAATGGCTAGACCCCTCGAGGATTTAAAAGATAAAATGGAGCTCTGAACTTTATCCGTAGCTGCACCTAACTCATGGTGTCCTCGCTCAGAGACTTCTTTGTATTAATTCCTAGGGGGGTTTCTGTAAATTAAGACAAACACGAATCTCCAGCATCTTTAGCATCTCATTCGAGTTAAAAAATAGAGTGATCTCACTAAGGCTATGGGAGGTGACAGAGATGAAAGTGAATTTGACCAGTCATTTAGCAACTTGCAGAAGCTGTCTCCCTAAGGCCAAGTACTGAGCCATCCTTTCAGAGTTAAGAAGCTTTATTTCTATGGATCACAGGCAGGAGGAGCTCAGTGATTGTTCCCTTAACATGATTTCCTAATTCTAGTTTATGCATCCCTGAGGTACCTTAGGCAGAATCCTCCGTATCAATCTCTTGGCTGGGTGGATACCTCCAGGGTCTAATTTCTTTGGATAATACCTCAGTGCCATTCCTAGGCTTGCTGGAAGACAAAAGTTCCTTGAATTAAAGCTTTGCTCCTAAGAATATAAATGCCATTGGAAGCTAATTAACCTTATCACACATGTATAATTTGGCAAAAGGGAATTTACTTGAGGTGGGGTGCAAACCTGAGAACACAAAGGACCTGTGAGAAAGGTCAACATAAGGGGGTCAAAGGAAGGTTCCCCCAAAACCAGAGCTAGAGGAAGTCAGTTTTTACTCCACTGCATATCCTCATGTCTGGGGAACAGTACGATGCTGTGATTGCCATTTTTCACCTGCCCTCCGGCCACCAAGTGGATTCTGAGTTAAAAATCCCTGAGGATCTCTTACTGGGCTTGTTCTTCGGGGTTTGTGGATGCAGAATTGGAAGGAAGTAGAGATTAGAAGATAAAAGTCCTTAAAAATGCTAAAAAAAAACCCCTAAGTTTTATGTTATATGCTGTGTATTTTATTATAATGCATTTTTTTAAGACCAAAGAAAGAAAGGAAGAAAAAAAAGAAAGGGAAACATGAAAACAAAGAACTTATGCAATGAAAGAAAACAGCCACAACCTTGGTAGACATTAATCCAACTCAACTGATGATCATTCTAAATGTGAATCACATCAGTCAAAAGACAGATTGCCAGACTGAATAAGAAATCAAGACCCAAATACAGGCTGTCTATAAGACACCCAATTTAAATGTAAAGACTTAACTTAGAAATAAGGAAATGGAGAGAGACAAACCACGCTAATACTAATTGAACGAAGGCCGCAGTATGTTCATTTCAGACAAAACAGACTTCAGAGCAAGTTAAAATATCAAAGATAAAGAGCAGCATTAAAACAGGGTCACATCATGACAAATGCTCCAGTAAGACAACGGTGCCAACAATGTCCCTAACAGCAGACTGTCAGGACATGTCAAGCAAAAGTTGACAGAGCTGAAAGAACAAGAAACAAATCCACCGTCAAAATTGGAGACGTCAATGCCTGTGTTTAAATGATGAATAGATGAGGTACATGGAAACACCCCCAGTCAAGGTACAGCTGACCGAGCAACACTATTGGCCAACTGCAAACGTTTGTGGGACACAGCTCACCCCCTGATGAGGGGGCATGTTAACATGCCTGTGATAAACAAATCAAAAGGAGGAAACATCTATCTGGACTCACAGCTGCAGAAGGTTCCATCTATATCACTTGATCCTGTTGCTTGGGCCTGTAGTGGCACAGCACATCATGGTGGGAGCATGTGGGGTAGGAGCTCCTCACATCGTGGTGGCCAAGAAGTGAGAAGAGAGAAGAGAGAACAGGAGTCCCAATATCCCCTTCAAGGGCACACCTCCAATGACCTAACCTCCTCCCACTAGGTCCCGCCTCTTAAAGGTCCCACCACCTCCAATAGTGCCACAGCTGGGGACCCAGTTTTTAACACATGGGTCTTTGGGGAACATTCTAGATCAAAAATGTAGCAAAGGGAAATTCACCTTTAATGTACATGTATTTGAGAAAGAATCTGTAAGCTAGTTCTTCCATTCCTCCATCTACCAGGACATGTGTAGCCAACCAGTAAGAAGGAAACGGAGCCTCCCCAGCAAACTTGGCAGTTCTAAATGACTCTCTTCCTCTGTCCCCCTCAGAAAAGAGCCAACTAGAGGGAAGATCCAGTGGACCAGCCACAGAGGGTCCCGCCTCCTTAGATGTCACCTTGGGAAACTGGAAGAAGATGGGTCATTTGAGCCTAAAGTAAGTATAAGAAACAATGAACTCTACAATGGAATCATTGAAATGATCTTCTTCCCTTCCATCTATCATGACATCTCTTGATATTTTATGTTGTAATAAATCTTTGTGTTCGTTTCCCAGAGTTTAATAATGAACTATTAAGCGTTCTGGAAGCTTCTGGAATCATTTAGCATGACGAAGGAGGCTGTGTTCATTATTAAAAAATGAAATCTAGATTCTCAAAAACAAACAGAACCCACACATATCCTGTTTCTGTCTTCATGAAAATTTATGCCAATAACAGATTTCTCAGGGAACTTTTGTGACAGAGTCATGTGGTGAAGATAGCCCTATGTTAGGTTTAGAAGTCCCTGAATCAGCCCTCCCAAGCCCTCATTTCTTGTCCTCAACTGCAGGAGCAGGAACTGAATAAAAAAAAAAATACCTGCCATTTCACACAGTTGCTATGAGCCATATCATAGCATATTTGAAAAACCTTGAGAACCAGGTGCCACACAGAATTGCAAAGGGTCCCACATCCTAGATCAGAGAGTGGGCAGAGGCAGGCTGGGCACTGTCAGTTCCCAAGAGTCTGGAGCTAAGTCCAGATGGCCTCTGATGGACAATTCCTTACAACACGCCCCACATAGTTTGATGCCAGCACCCCCCACCAAAGAACCAGCATGAACACAATCATGATGTGCTAGGTGCCTATCTATTCCTGGTTTTGCATGTACAACAGTGGTCTTTTGGCTCTGAAAAGAACACAAAGTATACAAGAGAAAATTTCCTATTTACTGTCTCATGGGATTACCCTTGTAAGTAATAGGTTCAAATCCACCAGTGTTTGCAATTAGAATCAGCAAACTGACAGTTTTATTATTTTTTATTAGAGAGAATTTTTTAATATTTATTTTTTAGTTTTTGGCAGACACAACATCTTTGTTTGTATGTGGTGCTGAGGATCGAACCTGGGCCGCACACACGCCAGGCGAGTGCGCTACCGCTTGAGCCACATCCCCAGCCCAAACTGACAGTTTTAAATGACTCTCTTCCTCTGCCCCCCTCAGAAAAGAGTGAACTGCAGAGAAGATCCAGTGGGCCAGCCACAGAGGGTCCCGCCTCCTCTTGGGTGATCTTCATGACATAATGCATTTTATGGTACTTTCTCCTCCACCTGCCTCTCACCAGACGTCTAGTCATGTCCAATTATAGCATGATACATACCTAAATTGAGGCAGGGTCTGTGAGACACTGAACATGTCCAGGAGCCTTATAATCCCCAAATCAAACCTCCCAGGACAGGATTTCTTCACCACATTATTGGGAATGAGCTCTGGAGTTGCTAGAGTTTGGAACTTAAGGGCCCCCTAAAGGTGCATGAGGTAAGGCAACCCAAGGGTGTGCTATTGGGAGGTGCTGGAACCCTTAAGAGGTGGGGTCTAGTGGGAGTTGTCTAGGTCATTGGGTCATTGAAGGGGATTGTAGGACCCCATTCTTTTTCCCCTCCCCCGGCCCCTGTAGTTATGAGGTGAGCTGTTTTGTCTATCATGTGCTCCCCACCATAACCCTCACCGGGAGCCTAAAAGGAATGGGTCTGCCTGGCTTTGACTAGAACCTCCAGAAGGATAAGCAAAAACAATGCTTTGACTTTATAAGTTGATTGTCTCAAGCATTTGTTACAGCAATGCAGAACTGACCAACACAGGAGGGATGTTGGAGATGAGCACCCAGGAGCACAGCCGGTTGAACTCCACATCCCTGTGCATCCTGGATGGACTGGACCAGACTCCATCTAGGGTACACTCACTTGCTCATCTTGGCTTGCAGGGCCATGTTGCTGGCCAGTTCCAGCACTTGGGACAAGAGGCACTGAAGCTGGCAGCCACTCGGTTTTCTCCAAGTCCATTCTCTGCACGTAGCTTTCCCTCCTCGGATAGGCACGGATGTGGCTGTGGGGATATCCAGGCCTGCTCGGGAGGCTTTGTTCCTCTTGGCTTCTGGACACAAAGGGACATAGCTGATAGAGAGACCAGTAAAGTCTCCTTCAGTAAACATTTGGCCCAAATGTTTACTGAAGGAGACTTTACTGCCATCGAGGGACTACCAGACAGAGAGAGGAAAGCAGCATTTAACATTGTAGACGCAAGAGGAAGTATGCAAAGGTGTCCAGGGGAGACTCCAATGGGTCTCTGCAGGACACAGGCATTCCTGCCCCACCGCCTTCTCCCTCCACGGTCCCCCTCCCTGGGCCTTCACTGCTTCTCCCCTGGGTGGCTCAGGTCACCTCCAACAGCCCTGATTGGGGCTCTGTAGAACCTTGGTGTCCTGCAAGCTGGTTCTTCCATTCCTCCATCTACCAGGACATGTGTAGCCACACCAGCAAGAAGGAAATGGAGACTAAATAACTAAATGACTCTCTTCCTCTGCCCCCCCTCGGAAAAGAGTGAACTGGAGAGAAGATCCAGTGGGCCAGCCACAGAGGGTCCCGCCTCCTCTTGGGTGATCTTCCTGACATAATGCATTTTACGGTACTTTCTCCTCCACCTGCCTCTCACCAGACGTCTGGGATCTCCTGTGCGTGATGCGCCTGCACCATTCCTGGAAAACACTGAGCAGAACTTCCATGGGTCTTTCCTGTCAGGCGTGTTTTCATATTTCCTGGAATACAGTTGCTGCGAGCATAAAGCAGGGGTCAGCCCAGGGACAGGCCCACCCTGTCAGCCACAAGGACAGGGCACCGGAGGCTGGGCAGGTAGGATGGGGTGCATCTACAGGCAGAGGCAAGGGTAAAGGCTTTGGTGTTACTCCTTTGTCTTTCAAAGGGTGTGCTGTGGAGGGTGCCCGGGCCAGGGCAGGGTCTGACTGACCACTCGGATTCCAGTTGTTGGTGAAACCCAGTCCCCGCTCATAGCCTTGGGAGTTGACAGAACAGAAAGAAAAGGGGTGGAAGGGTGTGTCAGGGTGTGTTAGGGTGCGTGGCCTTGACACTTCTGCAAGAACTTTAGAAGAACACTATTGAAATTATTTGGGGGATGAATCTCACTGGATTCACAGGGTGCTGAATTCCTGTGCCCTATGGTCCCTATGTTCCACTCACTAATGTCCCTCTTGCTGGGAGTTTAACTTGTTATGTCATTTCTCACTCTAAGAAGGACACATGTTCATGATAGGAAACTTCAAAGTACAGAAATACAAGGGGAAGAATGTCTTGTTTTCCTATTGCTCCAAGAAACTGGTTAGTATCACCACACACAGCTTTGAAGTCTTCTCACTCTTTTTTGGACTGTCAAACCAATGTTTGTACCGAGCAAAGCATATCTGTTACCAGAACAAGAGCAGGCATACTGGGTTTATGAGTGAAAATCTAGAACATGTTCCCATCACCAGGAGCCTCCGGCTTGCATTGACTTAGCAAAAAGGAGCCCACCTTCATTCACAGAAACCAAGCAGGGTGGAGATGTTCATCTCTAGCCCTGGGCTCCTTACCTTTATTAGCGTCTCCTTCCGGGGATGCTCCCTCAAGGGGCCTGCGTAGCACACCTGGGCATCAGTTTGCATCCACCTGAGATGGATACAGATCTAATCAGCCCCTCGCCTGGAGGATGCCAGGGTCCCACGACCTCAGTGGCCAGTGGGTCCAGGTAAGTCAGTAGGGGGACCCCTGTGGGAGCATCCCCCTTGCCAGAAGGACCATAAAGGTCTTATGAGGAACCAATCTTCCTTCTGCCATGTACAGCAGCTTTCCTAGCAAAAAGAGGAGAGAAACAAAATTTGAATAATTCAACCATTTCCCAGACGCTCATCAGCATCGAGGCAGAACCTGTGGCTTCAGCTGTCTGTGTCACCTGATTAGGACACTCAAATCAGGGATCTCCATTTTTTCACTTGGAAAACTGGGGGTTGCTATGAAGACCAAGTGAGAAATAAATGGACATGTCCGCTGTCTGGCAATCACTTCATTAATAGGGTGTCATCTGTGTAGCTGGCTCACTCAGGGAAAGACAGCCATGTATCAGGTGAGATTCAAGAAGGGCAAAGAAGTCCCTCTCCCCAAATCACCAACCCCCATCTATGGCCACATGCAATGCCTTGATTGGAAATTCATTCCACTGATGACTTCTACCATCTTTCTCTCTTACAATTGGAGCTCTATCTAAATATACGCTTCTGAAATTTGCTCAGACATCAAAATCTCATTTCATACCCTTAAATTGGCAGATTATAAAGTACAAAGTCAAAATATTCAGTAAGGATGTGGGCAAATTTAGAAATCAATTTTATTATGTCAAAGATGTGTGCATGTCATGGAGAATTTCTAATTCAATCCAAGTTAAAAAATGAAGAAAATTAAAGACAACTTAGGGTAGAGTTCAAGCGTGTGGGATGTGAAGCCAGTCCTAGTTCTGCTCCTTACTAGCTGTGGGACCTTCGGAGACCTGTCTCTAACCTGTCTCTACACCTCGGTTTTCTCATCTGAGAAATGTAGGTTTGAAGGCAGTGAAAATAAGGGCTCTGGGCCCAAGAGGTCTCAAACATAGTGGTTCTCAAATATGCTGTTCATCAGAATCCCGAGGGTTTGTTAAATGCAGTCTCCAGTCCTGCAGGGATGGGTCCTGAGAACTTGCATTCTCACAAGTTCCAAGATAACATGATGTTTCTGGTCTGGGGACTGTTCTTTGAAGCCTCTTGCAATACACATGTCATCACAAGAGGCAGGGGCTGCTGCCCTGGACTTTACCAAGAAGACATGTGAGCTCTGAGGAGAATACAACACTGAGAGAGAGGTCTAGAGAAATGGGCGGGAAAAGCTTGGAGCCAGGCCACCCTGTGACCCCTCTAGACCCTTCTGGGTAGAAGTCATCTTGCAACAGGACCCGAAGTATCTTCTCTGAGGCTGAGCATGAAGCTAGGGTTTCCTGGGCTTGTCCTAAGGTAGACAGGAGTCACAGAAGAGATGGAGGAAATGCCCCTGGATATTAATAGTTCATCTCTAATCTCACAAATGAGTCACCTGGGGCCACTTGTTTTGGGGGATTTGGTTCTGGGGGCCCACATGACATTTGCACAAACCTAGGGAGAGGTCCTGCCACGGGCTCCAACCCCACACATCAGTCATTCTCAAACTGGAAGAGGCATCCAAATCCCCTGATTACAATTCAGACTGCAGAAAGAATATGTCCCACCCTAGACGTTTTGATTCTGTGGGTCTAAAATGGGGCCTGAGAATCTGCATTTCTAACAAATTCTCAGGTGATGTTCTTGCTGTTTCTTCGGGGACCACACTTTGAGAACCACTGTTGTAATGTAGGCAAAAGATGTCCTGGTGCTCCTGGCGTGGGAAGAAGAGCCACTTCTCTTCAGGCCTGCGGAAGCCAGCCCTGTAGCAAATACTGTTGTAGACAGGCCTGGCCTTTTGAGGCCTACAAACTTTTAAATTATCATTGATCTTCACTGTGAAGCAGTTGGAACCAAGAAGGGGGTAGAGGTCTTCTGACTACCAGCCCAGCCTCCTTTGGTTCAGGGGCCCACATGACATTTGCACATTCATCTGTGACCTTAGATGGTTCAACTGATCAGGAGGGACTACAACAGCCATCAAATGCCTTTGTTTTCATTGTTTAATCTGCATAACACTAGTATGTATTCTTTTATACTTTGTTCCTTGTTCACTGATCTATCAGAGGCCCAGATCCCTGGAAAAAGTCTCTCTGTCTTCTAGTGTAAAATCTTTCCAAGAAGTGAGATTAGGGAAGAAAGTGTCATAGTTGAGGATGACGAGCTCGGGAATCATGGCTTTCAGCCCTATCTGCTCATTAATACTGGCTGAGAAATTTAAAAAAATAATAATGTCAGGCCTTATCCCAAGCCAAATAAATCATAATCTGTTGGGGTTGAATTCCAGACACTGTAGAGTTGACCCTCAATATCAGCAGGTTCTGCATTCAAGGAATCAACCAAGCAGGGATTGAAAATACTCAGAAATAATTCCGGAAAGTTCCCCATAGCAAAACTTGAATCTGTTGTTGCATGCTGAATCCTATGTAGAATACACGGTAGTGAAGTGGTGTGTGGGCATGGTGTTAGGTGTTATAAGCAACCTAGAGATAATTCGAAGTATATAATAGGAGGATTTCAAGAGTTTATAGGCAAATGCCACATCATTTTATATAAGGGAACCGAGCATCTGCAGATTCTGGTATCTTTGGTGGGGTCCTGGAACCAATCCCCCACAGATGCTCAGAGAGAACTGTACATTTTTAACCTTTCCAGGAGATCCTAACGGGCAGCCAATATTCAGAATTATTGATCTTGCTGCTCAATTAGGATGGAGGACCTGGAGCAGGACCTCCGGTGGGACCTGGTTACACCTGCAGACACTTGAACACTGCAGTTTAATGAGATCCCAGGTGATTGCATGCTTGTGAAATCTTGAAACAACCTGCGGAAGGGAACAGAATTTGACTCCAGAGGACAAGGAAGAAGTATCAGTGGAGAAGAGACATCTGCAGGATGGGGTCCCGAGGAATTCGGGGCCGGGGGACTCAAGTCACTGAGGTTCTTGATGTACGTGATGGAAAATAATTTCAGCACATGTTAGTAGGGGCACAGACATTTATTTAGGAAAGCCAGAATGCACAGTCAAGGGAGAAGGCTGGAGAGAGAGAGAGAGAGAGAGAGAGAGAGAGAGAGAGAGAGAGAGAGACATTTGTACAAGCCTAGGGAGAGGTCCTTCCATGGGCATCAACCCCATACATCAGTCATTCTCAAACTGGATGAGGCATCCAAATACTCTGATTACAATTCAGACTGCAGAATGAAAATGTCCCACCCTAGATATTTTGATTCTGTAGGTCTAAAGTGGGACCTGAGAATCTGCATCTCTGTTGTCTGACAGACAACAGCCACTTGATCTGGGGTGTTAATCTTATTTATACAGGGACAGTGCCTAGAGGCTGGACTAGAGGTGGAGTCAGGGTGGAGTAACACAATTTTGCCCCCATTTTTCTAGCTTGCACGTTGCATGCCCTAGTGTTACTTTGTGCAGGGAAAGGGCAAGGTCAAGGGCACAGGTTACTTACAATTGTTTGCTTTATATTCCAACAGCTCATTAGTATTTTCTGCATTCCAATAGTTCATGGACACTTCTCTTTTGAAACTCATTTTCCTTCTCTGTATCCCCAAATCCTATCTCAGAATATTTTCATTCAGGTCAGAAAGGTCAGGGGCTCATGGTAGAGTACTTGCCTAGCATGTGTGAGGCCCTGGGTTCAACCTCCAACACTGGGGGGAAAAAAGTGATCAGAGGGACAGGCATTGGGGCAGAGACATTTGCCTCCTCGGTGATTCTCCCTTCTAGGCCTAGGGCTCGTTTCTGCCTCCCACCTTTCACACTGTCCCCATCAAGAAGCCCAGGGTGGCCAGGCATGCTCCCCAGGCCGGTTGTCCCAGCTACTTAGAAGGCTGAGGCAGGAGGATTGCCTGTTCAAGGCCAACCTCAGCAACTCAGCAAGACCCTGTCTCAAAAAATAAAAAGGGCTGGGGATGTAGTTCAGTGGTAGAGCACCCCTGGATTCCATTCTCATATCAAAAGGAAAAAAAAAGCCCAGGGAGGGCCAGGAGGACACAGGGATGATCTGATTTGCCTCAGTAACAAGAGGCCTTGGAAGATTTTTCTCCAGAGGAGCAGCCGGGGGAGAAGGCTGAATGTCAGCTTTGTATTATAAATGTTAATGTAACCTCTAGGGAGGTCTCAACTTTCAAATGAAGCAGTCATTTGAATTATTTCAATTTTTTTAGAAGACTAAAATAATCCTAAGTACATCTTTTAAAAATTACCAGTATTTCTGTGCTTTAAAAAAAATCATGATACTAATTCCAAACTAATCCTACCTTCTCTGTCCATCCATGAATCCACTCCTCAGAACTCAGTGCTGCGGGTTGCCCACCGGCTTTCATCTCAGTCAACATGAAAACTGGGTCAGGTTTTGGCTTTTTTGTCTGTGCATGTGTGCAGTGATGGCAATAAGAAAATGACCAAATTGTGGTTTCACAGATCACAGTTTACTGCTGTACAAAGAGAAACTTTTCCTTAGCTACACAGTGTTTAAGGAGGGGTAGGATAGTGTCCCTGAATCTCACAGGGAACACACTCAGTAGAGGAGGTACCTTAACCACCTAGTAAGTGGGTTCCAAAATGATGGAAGTCCAGCTGCTGGGTTTCAGTGGAAAGCAGGCCTCTGCTGAAGTGACCATCTAATTAAAGGCCGAGGTGAACCTGGAGGCAAGTATTCACAGGACAGGGTACTTGACCACCACATTGGACATGCATTGACGTGTGAGGTCCTGCCTTGCAGGGGGCAGTCCAGGGTTGGGGGTAGAACAAGCTTCAAAACTCCAAGGCTAACACTAACACTGGGGTCACCCAGTGTTTTGCCAGCTTTTCTGCTTCTGTGACTAAAAGACCGGACCAGAACAGTTTTAGAGGAGAAAAAGTTTATTGGGGGCTCACGGTTTCAGGGGTCTCTGTCCATAGACAGCTGGCTCCATTCCTTGGGGCTCGGGGTGAGGCAGAACATCGTGGTGGAAGAAGTTGGCAGAGGGAAGCAGCTCACATGATGATCAGGAGGCAAAAAGAGACTCTGCCCCCCAGATACAAAATGTATACCCTAAAGGCACACCCAGTGCCCACCTCTTCAGCCCCACCCTACCCGCCTTTAAATGCCACTTGGTTAATCCCTATCAGGGGGTTGGTGCACTAATTGGATGGAGGCTCTCATAATCCAGTCACTTCACCTCTGAATGTTCTCACATTGTCTCACACGTGAGCTTTTGGGGGACACCTCACACCCAGCCTGAGCTCTCAGGATTCAGGCAGGCGGTCAACAGAGAGCAGCCTGCTGTGGCCCCAGATCTCACACTGCCTGCTGAGCTCCTGAGTTTTGAAGTCCAGGGTAGAGGTTAGTGACCCTCCTAGAGCCAAGGGGGTCTGATAAGGGTGACAAACATTCTGAAGGGGTGGGAGGACTCAGTTCAGGTTGTCACTCATGGTGTCTGACGTCTACTTCCAAGGGGGGAGTTTCCCTGTATGATTCACACAGCAAACCGTGTAGGCATTCGGGATCATTTCAAAGTGGTGAAACTGTTTGACGCATTAATTTGTGAGAGGCTCTGGTCGTCTGATTAGATGGAATTTTCTAAAACCCAGATTCGACTTCTACGCTTTGCTTGCTAACCCACCTCCATGGCTCCCAAGTGCATGGCTCAGGAGGCGGCGCATCTGTCCCTGCTCTCCAGCCTTGACCACCCCCACCCAGGTCCCTTCTCACTCACAGCATCCCTGGCCTTCCTCCTTGGTGCCATTGGGCATTCGGCATCTCCCTGTGATGTCAGTGTCTGGTCAACACTGCCGACCTGCCACCTCTCTCTGTAGTACCACCTCCTGTAGGAAGTGTCTGCTGTCTTCCGCCTCCGATGCCCCAAGAGGAGCAACTGCTCCTTCATCTCCGCCCCCTACAGCTTTTCATGACAGCCCATGTTTGGAAGTACCAAAATGGCCCCAAATTATTTCCTTTACCCTGGGAAGTTTCTCCCTCCATTCCCCTCATCTTACCCGACACTGATTCTAGGCAGGTCCCAGGAATTCCTTTAGCAGGTGCAAAATCAGCAGAATCGTGGCACAGCAGCTGCCTGGGATATGTGCCGGCACTGGGCTTCGTCTCCTGTTGCTTTTCAGAGAGATGTCACTCCCGGGTGAAGAAGTCCAGGCGTGGAGAGCGACACATGGCCTAATCTCTCACTCCCATCTCCTTGGTTGGGCCTGCCAATCATCAAATATGGGAGTGAGGGTGCTGTGATTTGAATTTTTGTCCCTCTGAATTCATGTGTTGGCAACTTAATCTCCAAAGTCATCTGTTAGTGTTGTTCGGAGGTGGGAATTCTGGGGGGGGCAATTCATGCAGACGGCCATTCATGGACTACTGGGTTACTGGGGGAGTGGTTTTGTTACAGTGAACTCTCTCTGGCACACTTGCTCTGTCTTGCCCTGTGATACCCTCCACATGCTGTGACTCAGCAGGAAGACCCTCACCAGATGCTGAGCAGATGGCAGCACTGTGCTCTTAGAATTCCCAGCCTACAGAACCATGAGCCAAAGTAAACTTGTATCCTTTATCCATTACTCAGTCTCAGGTATTCTGTTATAGTAACAGAAAGAAAAAAAAAAGACTAAGGCAATGTTATGGATTGGATATAAGGTGGCCCTCAAAAGCTCATGTCTGAAATAATGCAAGAACATTCAGGGGTGAAATGTCTAGGTTATGAGAGCCTTAAGCCGGTCAGTACATTAATCCCCTGATCAGGGTTAACTGAGTGGTAACAAATGTGGGTAGGGTGGGGCTGGAGGAGGTGGGTGTTGGGGGCATGGCTATGGGTGTATATTTTGTACTTGGTAAGTGGAGTCTCTCTCTCTCTCTGCTTTCTGATCACCAAGTGAGGCCCTTCCCTCCTCCACACTCTTCCACCATGATGTTAAACCTCACCTCAAGCCCCAAGTTATGAAGCTGGCTGTCTGTGCACTGAGATCTCTGAAACCATGAGCCCCAAAATAAACTCTTCCTCTCTAAAGTTGTTCTTGTCAGGTCTTTTAGTCACAGCAGTGAATGAGCTGGCTAAAACAGCAGAGATCACAGGAAAGTGTCTCGCTAACCTGCCAGCTGCCCACAAGTTCCATGCAGGAGCTCAGCAGAGATGAGTCGGGTTGGCTTAGCGCTATCCAGCTAATCCTCAGGACCATGAGTTACCTAAAAATGGTGGTTGTTTTAAGCCACTAAATTTGGGAGTGGTTTATTATACATCAAGTGCTAACTGGTGCAGCCAACATTATGTTTGATTAAACTTATTCATTTGAGTCTGCCTATTCAAGAGCAAGTACCTCAAAGGTAGGTGCTAGTATTTTCTTCATCTATGGATGCTGTCCACCTACCACTGGTTCTAGAACACGAGAGGGACTCAATACGTGTTCTTTAGATGCCTGAATGAATAAACATGGAAATATTTGACTAAATTAGCTGCCTATTGATTAGTGAAAGACAGCACTTACCTTTCTTCTAAATTTCCAGCTTTTATTTTATTTGCAAAATATCCAAGAATTTGAAGGAGAATGGCCCCCAGGGAGTCTAGTCACCCTGCTTCATGCTATTTAGGGTTACAGTACGCATTGGCCCGGGACTCTGGGGAAAGCTGCTACATCACTGATGTGTTGGTTTAGGAAGAACACACCCCGCTGCCTCCTTTGGACCCCTGGGACCTTCCCAAGTGTTGGCTCTGCTCGGTTCATAAATCCTTTGACCTTTACTTAGATCCAGCCACCCGGGAGCTCTGCTGCCCTGTGTTCTCTAGAGAACTCAATGCCACAAGTCCCCGTGCCTGGCTCCAGCCCTGCAGTGCCTCCATCAAGCCCTCATCAGCTGTCAGAGCAGGGAGCCGGGGTGTCCTGTTTCTGCTTCTCTCGTCTTCACTAAGTTAAAAAAATATACAAATTGAAAGAAGTAAAACAAATGATCCATCCTTGTTTTGAAAAGTGATTTTTATCTTAAGCCCTTAGGAGAAAAACTAACTTTGTTGGTTTGAATTGTACAGAAATTAGATGTAAGAGTATTGAGAAAGCTTCTGATTTTGATGTGATTTGTTCGAGTGGAATTTTCTTCTGTCACAAAGGGAGCTAAACACATTTTCTTATTGAATCTTCACAATGCTAGAACAAAGCGATAGGGAGACATCTGAGTCATTTTCCTAGCAAAATGGAAATGTCAAGCACAGCGATTAATTTGGTTTGTTGTAAAGGACGGCTGTAAGTCCTCTACTGAGCTACCAGACTCGTCTGGGATGGCAAATGAGAAGTGGTAGTCTCTTTCATCTCAAGCATTAAATGCATGAGACATTCAAAGCACTTTAATAGTTAGCTGCCTCTCAACTCCCACCCTCACCCCACAAACCCCCCAGTCTGCCTGGCCGTAAATGCCTACACTGACACTATCCCCGCCTCTTTAATTCCAGCCTTTTCTTCCAGTGGCACAGGCATTAGGTTCAGGTGACAAAGACAAGTGGGACTCAGGCTTTTGCCTGGACAGGTGTCAAGGGCAAACCATCCTCTCAAGTCTCTCTAACATGGGTTTCTGCCTGCAATACGCAGGACCCCGTCCTGGGCACTGAGCTAAGTGCATGCTGGGAAACCTGACCTAGGGAGCTAGCCCTGGGGCGGGGTCTGTTAGGATTCTCCTGTTGACTAATAGAGACTTTCTCTTTAGTTGTTGACACGTCTCCCCCTTTCAGCTTGGGTACATTTTTTGACTCAGCAAGGGAGCCTTCCCAGCCTCTACTTCTTACTAACCCATGACTGTGTTTTATTAAAACTGTGCTGTTGACCAGGTGAGGTGGCACATGCTCGTAATCCCTACAGCTCAGGAGGCCGAGGCAGCAAGATGGCAAGCTCAAAGCCAGACCCAGCAACGGAGCAAGGCCCTAAGCAACTTAGCAAGAGCCTGCCTCAAAATGAAAACTAAAAAAAGGGCTGGGGATGTGGATCAGTACTAAAGTGCTCCTGGATTCAAACCCTGGTAAAAAACAAAAACCCAAACAACTGCCCCCACAAAAACAAAAGCAAACAAAACCAAAACTGTGCTATCCAATCCAGAAGCCCGCAGACAGGAATGGTTACTGAAATCCAATTTTAAGTTAAATAAGACAAAAAGTTCACTTCTTCAGGCACCCAGCCATATTTAAGTACTCAGTGATGACAGCTTATTGGGTAGGAATCACAGAGGATCTATTCGTCATTGTAGAAAGTTTTATAGGATAGCATTGGTATAGATATTCCAAGAGAAAAAGGAGTTGTCCAGGGACTGCTCACAACGCCTTAGAGGAGATGAAGAGGCCAAGGGGCAACGTGCCCTTACCCGTGGTCAGAAGCTGCTTCCACCCTGGGGCTGGAGCCCACAGGCCTGTGCTCTCCCTGGTGCTGCTGTGGGTCTCTGCTGCGCCCACGGAGGCCTCCAAAATGCTTAGAGGAAGCACCCAAGGCAGAGTGGTGCCTCTATCTGCCCCATTTTAGATGATCGCAATCTAGTTAGAACCCAGCAGGTGTGGGATTTGGGAAATGGGAAAGGTAGTTTTCAGTCTTCCAGCCCTCATGGTAAAAGCAAGACTGTGGGACCGTGGATGGAGAGTCTGAGGGCGACTAGAGGACATCTGGCACCTTAGGGCCTAGTAATTAGTGCAGGGTCCCCGTGTGTAGATTTCTATTGTCCCACTCAAGACCACTGTGCTGCCAGCATTAGAGTGTTCGTTCCTAATTTGGACAAGTTGTCAGCCTTATCTTTCTGAATATTTTTTCCTCCCTTACAATACAGAGCCCAACTCTTTTTTTTCTGGGGGGGGGGGTACCAGGGATTACATCTGGAGTGCTTAATCCCTGAGCCACATTCCCAGCCCTCTTTTATATTTTATTTAGAGACAGGGGTCTTGTTAAGTTGCTTAGGACCTTGCTAACTTGCTGAGGCTGGCTTTGAACTTGAGATCCTCCTGCCTCAGCTTCCTGAGCCGCTGGGATTACAGGCGTGGGCCACCGTGACCAGCCTAACTCATTTTTGATATCTACTTTTAAGTCTTTACCTTTCCCTCTTTCCATTTTGGCCCACACCTGGGCAAGCAGACAAGAGCCTGAAAACTCCCCTCTCTTATACCTACCTGCTCACAAGAATCCCCACCCCACCCTAACCACCTGCAAAATATCAAGTCAGTATCCTTTTCTTGTTCTCACAAAACTTTTTTTTTTTCAGATAGCTGGGGATGCCTGCCTTGCTGTCCCCCTGAGAGCCCCACTATGTGAGTAAAAACGTTTCCTACCTTTTTAGTGTGTATGGGATCAACCTCTGAAGCGGATTTGGGGTGGGGTTCCATCCTACTTCTCTGAGTGGCCCCAACATCCTCTCTCTATTATAAAATATATATTAGAAATATGTTGGGCTTTCTTATCCCTTTCTGCATGGTTCTTTTTTGGGGTGGGGGGAGTTACCAGGAATTGAACACAGGGGCACTCAACCACTGAGCCACATCCCAGCCCTATTTTGTATTTCATTTAGAAACAGGGGCTCACTGAGTTGCTTAGCACCTCAACATTGCTGAGGCTAGCCTTGAATCCCAATCTTCCTGCCTCATCCTCCCAAGCTGCTGGGTCTGTGTGGTTCTCAATCTCCTTTTAATCTCCCTGTGTGCCATTCTTGATAACATCCTAAGCTCTTCTAAGTGTACAAATTCTCTCTTCAGATATCTCATTTAATAAGTTTCATATGTTTTAAAATTTTCAATAATTGTATTTTTATTTCAAGAAGTTTGATTCTTTTCCAGATATGTCTGGCCAATTTTAGAGTCATTCTTACTTTGGAAACTTTTATGCCTTTCTTTTATCTTCAGTGACAATCTGCCAAATTTTGCAGGAACCTCATCTTGATTTTTTTATTGTTCAAGTAGAATTCTCCATACCTAAAGACTGATTGATATAAGTATCATAAATTAGAGAAAACTTTAAACAGCTAATATGAACCAAATGGAGATTTTAGAATAAATTTCTTTATTTGCTCAACTTCCTCATATGAAATGGCAAAATATTTGCATATTAACCTGAGCACATTCTACTTCATGCTGTAAATCATCTCTGGATTACTTATAATAGTTAATATAGCGTATTTTATGTCGACAGTTGTACCAATCAATTCAGACTCAGAAATTATGAAAGAACTTTATTTGGGGTCTGAAACTAGC